GTAGATCCACAGACCTGGGTTGGAATCCCAGTTCAACCTCTTTTAACCCTTGGTCGACCACACCTCACCATGACTTTCACAAAGACACAGCTCACTTCTGGACTGGACCTCTCAGAGGACGCCTAGGGACACCTGGCCTGGGCCTAGCACACAGGGGATGCTCAGAAAACATGAGGCTCCTTCTCTCTTAGTGTAAACAATGTATCATACTTAAAGGAGCCTTCTAAGGCTGCCAAGATTAAGTCCAAAGCTGCAGTAACTTCCCCAATCTGGTGAGATAACAACAACAACAACAAAAAACCTAGTAAGGAAAAAATGGACACAGGATGTGAATAGATTATTCTTAGATGCTATGAGCATGAAAAAGTCTTCAATATTTTCAGCAATTTGCAAAATATAATTAAAACAATGATGTCGTCTTTGCCCATCAGACTGGCAAGATTAACAAGATATAGATAGATAGATAGATACACACACACACACACACCAGGAAAAGAAAACCTTGTATAAATATTTTAATACTAAATTTATTGAGACATCATGAGATTAATACGAGTTATCTTTGGCTTCTACAATTATAAGAGGCACTCAAAGCGGTGGCCATTAGCTTCCAGACATTTATTAGTACAGCGAACTACTGAGCTTTTTAATCATTTTTTTGGTGGACTCTGTATTCTGCTCAATGTTGAACAAGTCAAAAGGACTTTTCACTTTGACATTTTCACTCACTATTAGGAGCACAAATTGATAACACCTCTTGGGGGGCAATTTGGTAATACAGTATTTTCAATTTAAAATTAGTCTTTATCCCAGAAATTCTACTTCCAGAGACCTAGACAACTGAATCATGTGTGATGGTTAACAGTGATGTGCTTCATGCCTCACTATTTTTAAAGCAGAAAATCAGAAACAAGCTAAACATCCATCAGTAAAAGACAGTCAAATTATGGTACATTCATACTCTGGAATATAGATCCCACCCTACAAAAGGCAAACTTATCGTGTCAGTACATATAGATATCCAGAACATAACATTAATTTTAAAAGGCAAATCACAGAAAATTTTGTGTAATGTGACTGCAACTGTTTCAATGAGTATTTGTCCACCAAAAAAATCTAGAAGCAATGGCACTTCAGGAACAATGAGCACATCTTTCGACCTTGATTTGGATCTGTGTGTGTATGTGTGTGTGTGTGTGTGTGTGTGTGTGTGTGTACAGGCGCATGCATTTGGTTCTGTTTTAATATTGGGGATTGAACTGCATCCCCAACGCTCCCTATGTTTTTGAGATAGGTCTTGCTAAATTTCCCAGGCCAGGCTAGAACTTGAGATCCTTCTGTCTCTGCCTCCCAGAGCACTGGGATTATAGGCATATGCCACTACGCCCAGCTATCTTGGTTCTGATTATCATTCCCCACTAAAAGGAATCAGGGCTCTTTGAAGAAATGGCTAATTGCAGGCCTGAGGCAAAGAAAGTACAGCTGAGTCTTGATGGGCCAGAAAGAAAAGAAATTCTCACAGAATGACAGGAAAATGTCAAAAGGATATAAAGGCAAGCTGGAAGGGGCTCCCACTGGCCACATCCGGAACAGTTTGAGCAATAACTTGAGTACTGAGAGTAACAGGGTACAACTTATTGACTAAAACAAGAATTCATGAATCCAGAGATGCAAATCAAAAAGTAAATAAGGAAGAAAGCAAAGTTCTTTTCTTCAGTATGATTCCAACTAGTAAACGTAGAAGGAAATACGGAATTAGAAAATCACCATCTGCCAACTATCATAATAACTGATTCAGATAAAAAGCATCAAAGGGTTCTAAAATCAGCGGGTAAAAGAATGAGGGCAGCGGGGCTGGGGATTTAGCTCAGTGGTTCTGACACCTGCCTCACAAGGGCCAGGACCCAAGTTCGATCCGCCATACCAAAAAAAAAAAAAAGAATGAGAGCAGTATATTTACAGCCTGACGTTCTCTCCCTATGAGACACACATTAATCACAATGGGGGAAAATGGAAACTCTTCAATGAGGCAGACACTCTGCTAACCAAGTGACCAAAGTCAACAAGGCCAGTGAAAGGACTAAGGAGCAGCGTGTGACTCCTAATGGGACACACTAAGAACACCAGGCATCAAGCCTGTGCTACTCCTGCAGGAAGTATATAACCTGAATCTAATCATAAGAAAACCCAAACCGAGGGGCATTATATAAAAAAACAGCCGGCAGTCTTCAAATGTTCCATATTAAAGGAGACTAGAGAGATGGAACAACTTAATGCAACAAATGAGCTAGGATTTTCTTTTGCTATAAAGGACATTTTTGGGGCAACTGGCAAGATTTGAATAAGACCGATACATGAAATAACAACACTGTAACAATGCTCATTTCCTGATTTTTAAAAAATAATTGTACCTTTATTATATAAGTGAATGTCATTGTTTTTAGGAAATACACAGTAAAGTACTAGATGTAAAAGGACACTGAGTCTGCAACTATTAAATACTGTAGGGCCAGGGATTTAGCTCAGTGGTTTCACCGCCAGCGCAAGGACCCAAGTTCCATTCCCAGTACAAAAAAAAAAATACTGTAGTCTGTTAAAAAGTAACCAAGCATGAATATGAGGACAAAGCAAATAGAGCAAAAATCCTCATGTCAGGAGAACCTGTATAAACAGTATCTAAGAATTCTTGCAACTTTTCTCTGACAGTTTGAAATTATATCAAAATACAATAAATAATTAAGGTAGCAAGGTGTGCACCAGGTAAGTTCCAGGGATTAGGTTCACAATGGGTATTTTCTTAAACCACACAGTCAAAATAAAGCAAGCCTGTGTGGGAGTGAATATTTGTCTCCCTACAGAGCTTCTGCTCCAGGACAATGAAGAGAAAAAGATAAAATCTGTGTTGAAGATGTCTCAAGACCCACTCATTAATCAAGTTCTACAAAAGCAGCACCAACAGAAGCAAGCCTCCTTCACTGCAGATCTGTGCTATTTTTTCCTCAGTGAAAGTCAAATCCTCCTGACACCATGAGTAGCTGATGATGCTATGGGACCTTTTCTAAAATATGTAAGCTAAAGGGAAGTTTTTCATTAAGAAGTTAAAACAGGAAAAAACAGTCTTGGTGGGAAGTCTCCACCTCCACATTGCCTTACTGAAACCTTGAGATGCTAAGCCCTGGTGTGTGGGTGTGAGTCAGTTGGTGCCTCATGCCTTCCAGGTCCTCTTCTGTGGTGCATTCACAAAGATGCTGGCTGAGAACGCTCCCAGAGAGACAGCTGGCTAGAGGGACTTGTAGGGCCAATAGTTCTCCACCACACACGTCATTTCTCTGGCGGCCTACCACCTACAGAAAGCTCTTGTGTATATTTCCTTGTTTCCTTAACATGTTTTTTAAAAATCCATTTTAACAACAATATTACAAAATATCCAGTTTCCAAAACAACAGGATAAATTATAATGTCTGACTTGGGCTCCGACTCAGGGCTTACCTGAGCAGATAAATACTCTGAGACGGAAAATGCTGAATGAAAAACAACTAACCAAGTAAACATGTTAAGTACAACGAATTTTGTTGCAGAGCTGGAAAGAAATACAGCCCTTCTTTCCCTTTGGATCTGTCCATCATCCGTTCCTTTAAGACCTGTCTTTGAGTCAAAGCCTTTCTGGAACTCTGGCTTGTTGCTACGGTGTGTATTTACAAGACATTACAGGAACAAGGCCTTGTGAGGTTTCAAGGCCACCCCGGGGACAGCATCATGGTCCCCCAACACCATCCCTCTGGCAGAACCACCATGTTGATCTCCTCACGTGGGCACCACCTTTCAGCTCTATTCAGAGAAACAAATAAGCTGAACCTTCCAGGAGTAAACATTTCAGCAAAGAATCTCCAAAACAAACGTCCCAGCCTAGATACAAAGAACAAAATTCCTGTTGAAAATAGCCTGTTTCCAACCATAGAAAAATCAGGCTTCACTGAAGGACAACCTATAGCAATTGGATACCAACAGCATCTAGATTTCAAAACAAACTCGGCAAAAAAAGGTTCTGTTTTCACTTTTTAGAGATGCAAACATTGAGAACTGGAGTCCGCCAGAATTCACACCCAGGGCATCCTGCTCTGTCCCCAGCCCCACCAGGCAGGTGCCCAAGGGCCACACAACCCACTGTGACAGGGAAGGAACCACACAGGATTTCACTGCAATATCCCAACTCCCACCCTACCCTCATTCCCACGGTTCAGATGCCCAGAAAGACAGGTGACAAATCACACTCTACTCTTAGGCAGTTTCCCAACACAAAACACACTCAGCAGCAGAGCAAAAGACGCAAAGATGGGCTCTACAACGGCCTATACTTCCTTCTCACCAAGGAGCATTTTCATGATCTGTCAACTCGGGGAGGAGGAGCCCATCCTTATGTAATGTCAGACGGCAGGCGACAAGGGGCGGCAGGGAAGCCAGCCCATCGAGGCTCGCTTCCTTCGCCCACAAGGTACAAATTTACGTTTGACATCTTGAGCTTCTCGGTCTTCCCTGGCGCACACATTCATCACTGGCTTTTCAAAGGACGACCACAGGTCCCTGCAAATCTCTCGGGCCTCCCTTCCCTGATGTGCACAGCCAGAGAGAAATACAACATAAAAAGGCAAAGATGGGAGGCACGTTGTCGGGGAGTAGGGGCCGGAGGAAAAGGGAAGGAGTCATAGGGACGGCGCCCCATTGCCCACCCTGAGGCGCATGTTAATTTTCATCCGCTTTAGTGTACACCTGAAGCACAGCCAGGCCTTCAGCGTCCAAGGCACCGGGTCGCCCCCGAGGATCTGCGGTGCTCACGGACGCCACCGCGGGGAACCGCTGGACTGTGCATTTCCATGACGACCGCGGTCGCCGGCCCAGCCGGCCCAGCAGGTCCCACCCCAGCAGGTCCCGGCCGCGCCCGGTTGCCCGGGCCCCCGCCCGCCGCCCCGGCCCTGCCCACCGCCCCGGCCCTGCCCACCTACCTGGCGCGCCGGCCCGCGGCGTCCCGTCCTCCGCCCCCAGGCTGCGCGCCCGGGCCCCGCCGCAGCAGCGTCGCCGCCCGGCCGTGAAGTCACCGGCTGCAGGCCTGGCCTCAGGCGCTGGTATTCCTGTGCCGGCCCAGAGCCGCGAACCCGCTGCCCGCGCGCAACCCGAACCCCGCCGGTGCCGCTGCCGCCGTCCCCTGCGTTCCAGACGCCGCGCACGGCCCCGCCCCGGCCCCGCCCCCTTGCCGCGCAAGCGCACCCGCAAGTCTCGGTCGCCGGGCTCCAGTTCTTGGGCTGCGTCTCCTTCCCCGAGGCTGCGGAGCTGAGTGAGTGTCGGAGCTGCTTCTGCTCCCACCCTGCTCTGTGACTACACAGAGATCTTGAACTTCTGGAATCAACTAAGGTCCCAAAGAAAGCAGGTCCCTTCTAAGAGCCGCGGCCCGGTGACGCGCTTAGGCCCTTTGGTCCCGGGGTGCATGTGTAATCACTTCCTGGGCTACGTTTAGCCCCCTGAACCTTCCCACCAGAAACAGCAAAGAATTAAAAGTGCAGTATTTGGAATTATAAAAACTTATAATGTCTACAATACAATTGTCTGTATTCTCCCAGTCTTTCTGCGTGTGTACATAAATGCACAACTATAGACTCCCAACAGATAGCGGTTCTTTACTAGTCTCTTCTAAAATTATATTTTTCCATAGCAAAACAAATCAGAGTAGTCAGAGGTTTTTGGAAGACATTTTTTACTTTAATAGAACTTTAAAACTTAACACTTCTGCTTGAACAAGGGTAAATACTACTGAACTAAACATAAAATTGCTCTATGTTTGAGTCTTTACATTTTATCAGAATAAAACCTTTCTAAAAAATTCTTCAATGAAAACTTTTAATTCAGTAAACCACATTACTACTCTGAGTTTGTTGTGCCCAGATTGTGAAGTCCCAAAGACCACCAGGAGGCCGTTTCCGATGTAAGCACACGAGGGTCGTTTATTCAAGCTCAAAGCAGGGACTCTCAATTGTCACTGACACAGCGGATCGAGATTGAGAGCCCCGAGTTCCAAATTAGCAGGGTTTTGATTGAGATTACAGCAAGCTTCAGTCATTAGCAGCCATATGATTGGTTAACATTTAGCAAGTATGAAGTGTAGAATTTTGATTGGCTAGGCTCATTGGGGGTTGAAGGTGATTACGTATAGGTTTTTACAAGAAAAATGGGGACAAAGGTTAGTGGTCTACTGTCACGTACTGATGGTCAGCAGACATCTTGACTAATGGTCATGACCACCTTGTGTGGATAGTCAGCACGTTAACAGATTGTCCTATAGATAGTGGGCCCGGGACACTTGTTTCTAGGGCAAACAGATGGCTGAGTAATGAGTTTAGGAATCTTGAGTTACAGATCATGTCTTTTGTCCCAGATTAAGCACATTTAATCATTAATTTGAAAGAATAAAGGAGACTGCTCCATTTTGGACAAAATGGAGTCATTCTGGTCCCACATTCACAAAATGGAGTCACTTTTGGTCTCACAAGTTCACGGTTCAGGTGTGAAAGCAAGTGTTTATAATTTACTTCAAAAAAGGAAAGCTATTAATCCGTTAGAAATGAAATTTAAGAATTCTCTGAATTTACTTAAAATTAGGTCTGATCTTTACCATGTCACCAAAATTCAAGTGCTGACAATAGTCTGGAGTAAAAATAAACAAAAATATAAGGCTAGTTTTTAATTTTTCTCTTCTGAATTTTAATTTTATTTCTCTCCTAAAAAGTAATTTATTAACAAAACACTTGCTGTTTATTATCTCTTCAGATAAATGGAAATGATGGAACCTTGACTAGTATAAAATTAAAGCTAAGAAAATCTCACATGCTTGTAGAAATACAAAAAATATTTTCACATTTTATTTTCTAAAATTACTGTGGTTGATATGCTGGTTTGCCTGTGACAGTCCTGTTTTCCTCTTTTTTTTTCTCCAGCAAAATAGCTGATAGAGCCTCTTTCATTCTCAAAAGTGTCCTGTTTAGATGATAGATTATAAGCCAACTAACAGAGCTTTTAAAACTGTAACTTTAAAAACACAGAGATAGAAATTTAAACTAAAAACATTTTAAAAACAGACTTCAGTCTTAATTTTGACATTCATTCACTTAGCACAATAACAAACAATGAAGATCGGGCTTCCAGCAGTATTTATCACTTCATTGTTGCATAATTCTGATTGTCTGAAAAGATCAATTGTGTTCCCAGTGTGGCAAAGAACAGGGCCCTAGTGCAGCTGTAGAATGAAAATTATCAAGGGAAAGGGTACTCAGGTTTGTTGGTAAATGTACTGCTATACATTCCTTTGGCATCACAACATTATAGAAGAAAGCATCCTAGAAGTGTGTTGGTGGTACAGTATCCCAGAACGTCAGAAGGTTTCAACATGGGCCAACAACCAGTGGCCTCAGCATTCTCCAGAAAGTGCTAAAAGTGTAGATTCTCAGACCTCACCCTAGACCTACTGAATGAGCACTTCTGAAAGTGGGTCAATCTGTATTTGTAGAAAACTTCTGGAGGAAAAGAAAAGAGGCAGGAATGTCAGGTGTTCGAGGCCAGCCTGGGGTACATTGTGAATTCAAGTCTATCAAGGCCACCCTGAACTCCAAAGTGAGACCCTGTCTCCAAAGAGGGTAGGGGGAGGGGGAGGAGGAGGAAAAGAAGAGGCAGAGGAAGAAGAAAAACCTTCTGGGGATTCTGATAAGCATACTGACTTAAACAATATATATGCAATAAGTAGGCTGACTTAGATGATCTTTGTACAACAATTAATATTTTTACTAGCTGAACTGTTGGTATCTTTAGGACTAGAACCACCCAGTGTAAGAGCTTCTCTGCAGGCTATTAAACACGTTACATACATGGTTTTCTTAGAGAATATATGTGTGGCCTTGCAAACAGCTCTGCAGCCTAAGTAGCTGTGAAAAAGCAGCAGCACAACTGGAGTCATGTAGAGTACAGGTAGAGTGTACTGCAAAATGATAGATTTTCGGAGTGTGGGTTGAATACACCTTCAAGTGTGAAACGGGCAAGCTTCAAAGTGGCAAGTTGCTTTGAATAAGGTCTCAGGTTACATTTGTGTGATTAACTGAGTCTTTCAAGTACTGTAATATCTTTTCCTTCTTCCGTGGTCATTGTCCTTGTACAAATAAATTGGCTGTGTTTACCTACTTCAGGGGGAAGTAGGTCTGTGTTTACTTCTTTGCTAGATGTCTCCCATTTAGTTTGAGAACTTGAGGTTTTTCTAACCTCTCACCCGTCATCTGGACTTTTTAGGGCCCTGGGCCTTGTTAGCATACTTAAAGGATGTTACCGTCTCATGAGCTAAAGTTTGAAACCACAAACTTGATTTTATCTATAGTTAATGTTGTCATCAGGGTTTGCAAAGGAAATAGATTTAATACAGGACACAATTTATAGGTTTATAATATTCACCCAAAAAGTCAAATGCAGAGAGCAAGAGATCTAACCACACACTGGAGACCAGAAGAATCCAGCCAAGGGCCTGGATCCCACAGCAAAGTCCTCCACAAGTTCAGCTGAAGGCCTACAGCCCAAGGCAGTGAGTGTCCTTCACAAGTCCAGCCAGTGGCCTAGAGCCCCAGGCAATGTCTCATGCAAGTCTGTATTGAGAACCTACACCTGGAAGGCCCAAAGGCCAGTGGTGGAAGCCAGAAAACCTGCCTGGTGGGATGAAGGATCTGTGCCACCCAGCTGAGGGATCTGACCTGGAGCCAGGAAGTAACACTCACAGTGAAGATCAGAGCTCCCCAGACAAGAACAGCAGCCATTCCCAGCCACAGAAGGGATCAGAGCTCCTCTGATGAAAACAGCCAAGTTCGCATCAGGAAAACCAACCATAGAAGCTTCTCCTAGAAAATCAGCAGCCTACGATCTTCCCCTCCAGTTCTCTTTTTATGTCATTGGCAACAACCCTCAGGTGGGTCTTCCATGCCCAAACCATGCTAATTCAGTTCAGCTGGGTGTTCCAAGCTGACCATTAGTTAATCCACCTAGCTAATGATTAAGAAAGTAAAGAGGGGGGGAAAAAATCACATCTTCTTTGCCTTTCAAGTCTCCCCTAGCTCCTTGTCTCCAGCCTGCTAGTGACGAACATCCTGCCTAACAGCTGGAGGTGTTAATGGGTGGAGGGTCTCTTGGGGCTTCTTCCCAGATTTAAACTGTCCTCTTAGAAGACTCATTTGGCTTCCCAACAGATGTAAATGAAGGCTTGAAAAGAGCATCTTCTGATGAGTCCTGCAAACAGTGCCAGATTCAAATGAGGATAGAAGACAGCATTTTCCTGATTGGTCTGCAGTGTTCAGCCTGATGTCGTTTTGAGTCCCATGTTCTGTGCATGTCCTGTCTTTTTAGAAAACATCTCACTCAACCTGTTAGCCAAGGATTTTTATGACTTTTGACACACTCTACCCAGTTAGTCTGGTTTGCCGAAACCCTAATCACCTCAGAGGGATAAATGGAATTTGGAGCATTTTAAAAAGCCCTATCCCCAGAAGCTTATCACTATTTGACTTGTCTGGCAGCTTACTGGCAAAGCTCCATTCTCAGGATCTTTAATTGGAATGACTTAGAGGTTCTTTGTGCAAATGGCCCTATCCACCAGGCATTTGTTTAAAACAATCAACAACAACTATTTATCATTGCAGCTGCCTGAAGCAGTGACACTTATTGGAGTTATCAAGAGGCTGACTATAAAACTTCAAAGGAGCCAAGAGTGATGGTGCATGCTTGTAATTCAGAAGGCTGAGGAGGCTGAGGCAGAAAGATTGCCTCAAGTTCAAGGCTAGCATGGTGAGTTGCAGGCCAGGCTGAACTACATAGTGAGACCCTGTCTCAAAAAAAAAAAAAAATTAAAGGTAAGTATGAGAACAATAGCTCACCAAAACACGTATATAGGTAAAAATACAGGGATTATATTTTATACAAACTCTATATTTGAAAGGTGTAATAGCTAAAATGAAAAATCCATTGCAGGGGTACAACTGCAGAATTGAGCCAGCAGATCACTCAATTGATATTTCATAGCCTGAGGACCATATAGAAAATACAATGAAGAAAAGTCAACAGAGCCTGAAGATCTGTAGGATACTGATAAGCAGGCCAAGTACATGTAATAGAGGTTCCCGAAGGAGAGGGTTGGG